CGAAACTGAGCGTCGGAGAATCTCAAATGTCGAGCCAAAATTTAGGAATTAGCGAGACATGAAAATGCTTAAAGTAACAAGCAAAAACCCTAGCCACGCAAATACCCTAGCCACGCAAAAACAAGGGAAGCGCGCATAAAAGGACCGTGCCACGTGGCAGCACACATGGCAGCACGCCATGTGGCATCGCACGTAGCAACCACCAAGTGGCAGCATGCCACGTTGGCAGAGTGCAATGGTGGCAGCGCATGTGGCAAGGGAGTCGTGGACCCGGTTGACAGTTCATGGACACGGGCCAAAAGAAAGTGGCCCAATCGAACCCAAATTTGGGCTCAAGGTTGGGTTACACATGGTTAGTTCACAATGCATGTGAGTTGTCTTGGGGACCAAGTGAGAAAGTGGTCCGCATCTATCCATATGACACTTGTTACTTGTTCCTTGGTTTATTTAACTAAGGGTTGAATTCATCAATCTTTCCACGTGGGATCTTTTTGTGAAAAAGTCCCACATTGAAAGATGAGTGGAATTCACAAGGAAGATTTCCTTATAAATAGCCAAGGGATGGCATGGGATTGTTCACTTGAGTAAAAGTTGGATAAGGCATCACTAGTAGTGAAAACCTTTGAACTCAAGAGTTGAAAAAACATCATCTTTGTGAAAACCTTTGAACTCAATTACTCGGGTTTTGGTCGGGCCTTTCTAACTCCAAGGCATTAGACCTAGTCGGTGCTCGAGTTGTGGGTGGATCATCGTTGGAGGCCTTTGTATTTTCAAGGCTAGCTGTCATTTGAAGCGCGCTTCAAAGGTAATATTATTATCTTAGTCTTTTATTGCGAGCGCGGTCTTGTTTTTGGGTTTATTTCCACGGTGAGTCAGACTCACCAAACTCCAAAACAACCCACGACCTTGCCCTGGCCGCCGGCGTTTTGGACGCCAAGATCTTACGAGACTTGGACGACTCATCATCTTTTGAAGCAGGTGTCGACCGCTTCCTCGCTGGCTTTGGGGTAGCTGACTTAAAAGGCAAGATAGATTCAGTTAGAAAACTCTATTCGAGTAGCATTGAAGGAAAGAAGCTTGAAAAGAAATTCGTTTGACAAAAGCTCATTTATGTCTTGTTCGAGTAGGGTTGTAGGAAGGAACTCACAATACAAATTTACTCGGCCAGGAGTGAAACGTATGCAACGTCCGACTCAAATGAAAAGCAATGTCAGTCAAAGCATAGAAGGACGGATACAAAAAAAAACAAGAATATACTAAGGCAAAGGGAAGAAGTAAAGAGAGTGGTCGTAGCCTCTTTGCTGCCTCGTATTGAGCTCTCATGATCCGAAACGCTCCATGGTAAACTCGTTCCTGTCCATCTCTCCTTTCTAAGACGGATCGAGTTGAGACAAGGCTTGCTCTGTTAAAAAAAAAAAGAAATGGGAGTTAGAAAATTCTCCAAGTAAAAATATATAGTTAGTAATGCATGATGCAAAAGTTAACCTGGAGGATAGTTTTGGAGTAGTGCGGACGAGGACATCTACATGGGATCCCTTAGCCAGATCATTAAGGGGATCCACTTGGGAATAACGGGTACCCTGCGTCCCCCTCTAAATTCCCGCTTGACCGAGAAATAGTCAAGTTGGGCAACATGGTCCGCATGAATTGGGGGGCGAATTGGCCGTTGGTCCCCTCGTCCAAGCTGAACTGGGGAGGAGTTAAAGTTGTTCATATTTTTGTTGAACTCCTTATCCCCTGTCTTGATGAGGTAGAACCTATTCTTCCAATCACGCCATTTAGACAACTTGTTCAGGCATACCATATATTCCATCTGGGTGCTCAAGATAAACAACCCGTCCAAGTCGGCATCCAACTTCACCATGTTGTGCATGGTGTAGAAGACTGGGAAGTTGGGGGTGAAGCCCATCCTTAGATAGGTCACCAAGTATCCAAAAATGTTTGCCTAGCTATTCAACGCAATTTGTACCATACCAATTTGATATTTGTCCAGCAGCTCCTAGACAAAAGGATGAAGGGGGAAGGGGAGGCGAACCTCTAAGGCTGCCCTATATACATTAAAGCCTTGGTGGACGGCCCTAGGGTCGTCAGAGGCAGCAACATACCCTGAGGTCCAAGGGAGACTTATCCAAAATCCCTCCCCCAACATGAACTCCTTCCATTCCTCAAACCTATCATTGAAGTACATCAAGGCCACATCCCCAATCATGTAGCCATATAAGTTGTTAAACTCATTTTTCTCTTCCTCTACCTCGGCGGCAGTATTTTCGGCTTGTTGTTTAGCCGATTGAGGTTTGGGGGTGTAGGAAATATTTAAAGCATCCCAAACTTGAGCCCCGCTGTGATTATACATTTAAGAATGGTGGCGCCCAAAATGAAGGCAGCTAGAGCAAAAGAGTCGCCAACAAGTTTTAGGAACTTGTAAACTGTTCATAAGGTGAAGGTTACACCCCTTCACGATCCATGAGATCGCTAACTCAATAGTGGTCAAGAACCGTGACTAAATATTCGGTGATGAAGGTAAAAATCCAACCTAAAAGAGATTAAACCTGCCCTAAAAATAGCCCTCTACTTTATTCTTCTCGTACTCATGTGCACCTTTTGACTAACATGCAATCATTAGATTAATCCTAAATTTGTTTAATCTATGTTGGTTGAATATTAATGCACGAACAAATCTATTACTGGCGATTACTTGAATTATAATCATATTAACCTAAACAAGATTATTAATTATCTTATTAAGCGTGATTACAAGTACAAATTCCCTTTAATTATGCAAAAAAGGCGTGATCAAGCGATAACAATAAAAATAATGTGATAATATCAAGAAACATGATAATAACAATCATCATCATAATAATCCCAATCTCAAAACATAATAGTATTAACAAGATCTTAGGCATGAAACTAACAAGATTGATAACAAATCCTAACATGTCCCTAAAAATAAGGAATTGTAGACACCCATTTGTGTCTCCTCAAAACCAAACCCAGTGATGAGTACCTTTCACGTCGAATCATAATCGAATGAAGTGAAAGTGTGGAAAGTTTAGAATTGCGGATAGTTTTAATTTGTTTTCTTTTCTCTCTGTTTTTGAAAACCTATTTTAAAGAAAACAGCCAAATCCTATTTGTTTGGTTCATAGAAAGGGTCCAATAATGATGTAGTTTGATGGGGCTTGAAAAGAGCTTTCCAATAATATATTATAAGCCCAATTCCGATGAATAATGGGGAAGTTATGGCCAAATTACTAAATTGAGCCCGGTTTGAGCCTTACATGCGGCCCAATGATCTAAAGGAGGGCCTAATATGGATTTATCATTCCTAATGCAATTAGGAATGGTTTTAGTCTTCTAGATTCTGCTATAAGGTTCTTTTCATTCCTAATTCAATTAACATTGATAAATTGACTTTTGTTGACTTTTTGGAGTTTTAATCAGAATAAAAGAGTGTTTTTAAGGAAACTACAATTTTGTCCTTATGTACGGCTAAATTTTATCTGAATTTAGAAAACCCATGAAATAATTAATTAGCGCCTAACGCCAGTCATTAGCGCCTAACGCTAGCGTTATCCCCTGGCGCTAATGTTCAGCGCCTGGCGCTAACTTTGTTTTTTCACGTCGAAACTCTAATTTGTTTTTCTATCTTTTTGGCTGATTTTCTCTATAAATAGCCTCCTAAAAACTTCGTTTTTCATAATCTACAATCACCAATTCTCTAATTCTCTTCTCTCTCAAAGCTTATTTTCTCTCTTTTCTAAGCCAACCTTTTTATATACAAAAATTCCGCATTCACAAGACTAAGAAACACGTAGCATTGTTCGAAGTAGCCTTCGCCCTAGACGTGAAAGGTTTAATTTCTGAGGGTTTGGTCCCAAATCTCTATTTCAATTATTTAATTTAACTCTTTGTTTATTATTTTCCTTGAAGTTACTAACGTGTGTATTTTGTTATTAGAAACAGGTACGAGGCATCCAAGTAAGTGCTTTAATGGTTTTTATTGATATGTAGAAATCATGCTTAGGTTGTTATTATGATTCCTAGTGTCATGTTAGGGCGCTTTGATCTTCCTAGTATCATGTTTAGGCTAATAACTAAAAAAATGCTAATATCAAGTATGATTAAAAGTATGATGCCTTTTATATTCTTCCTGATATTTATGATTGCTAGTATCATGTTAGGGTTAAAACTTTGATTTTTATTGTTTAGTGACATGCTAGGGTTTGTTATTAACTTTGTTAGTATCATGCCTATGATCTTGCTATTATAATGCTTTATTTTTAACATGAACATGATTATGATGATTATTATAATTATTGTGATTTATTATGTTGCTTGATTTTATTTATTGTAATTGCTTGGTCACACCTTTTATACATGTTTAAAGGGAATTTTGTACTTGTAATCACGCTTAATATGATAATTAATAATCTTGTTTAGGGTTAATTTGATTATAATTCAAGTGATCGCCAATAATAGATTTATTTGTGCATTAATATTCAACCAACATAGATAAACAGGTCTAGGGTTAATCCTATTGATTGCATTTTAGTCAGAAAGCGCACATGAATACGATCAGAATAAAGTAGAGGCCTATTATTAAGGCAGGTTCAATATCCTTTAGGTTGGATTTGTATCTTCATCCCCGAACTACCAGTCATGGTTCCAGATCTATTGGAGTTGACGATCTCCTAGATCGTTAAGGGGTGTAACCTTTACCCTGTGAACGGTTTACAAGTTCGTAAAACTTGTTGGCGACTCTTTTGCTCTATCTTCTTTCCCTTTACTACTACAAATCCCTTGCTTTTTGGATGCTATTGGGTTGAGGCTGTGTATGAGGTGTCAGCGGAAAAAAAAAATTCCGCTTTTTTTTCGACGCTTTTATGTGTCGAATCAATTTCTTGGCGTTAAAAAGCGTCGATAGCTTCGTATGGTTTGCACGTGACACAAGTATTAGAAACCGCCTTATATCCACGAGGATACCCATAGTCCCACACGCATAACACTCTTTCTCTCTCTCTCTCTCAGATCTCGGCACTTCAACACAAATTAACCCTAATTGTTTTTTTTTCCTTCATTTTTATACGATCTCAGTTCATCTGTTGATCAAATCGCTGCGGATTAAGTGGAAGCCATGATATAATTTTCTTCCTCTCCTTGTTAATTTCTTCAATTTAAGGTAATTTCATTCTTCTCCTCATCACTTTCCAGGATTTTGTGCTAAAATACCATTCTGATTTAATTTGTTATATTTGATTGTTGTGAAATAGCATTGAATTTCTTGATATTCTATTCAATATTTTCATCCACTGAAACAAATTTCTCCTTTTCACATTCCATTTCCCAGAAACTCCAATTTCGCTTGTTTTTGTTCAACTCCATCTATGTCACCTTCGTCGTCGCCGGTGCTTTCGTTGGTGAACGGGTACGCTTTCTTCGATATTCTTTGATTTCAATTTTCTTTCCTGGTTTTCTGATCTGATTTAATTTGTTGTTCTTCCATGTTTGTGCTTTGTAATTGTTGCGGTTTTTTTTTTTTTTTTGTTATTTGTAATTCAATTTGATGATTTATGAGTTCCTGGATCTGATTTAACTAATTGTATAATGATGTGAGGATCGATTTTGATTTTTGCAAAAATTCCTCAACTCTACCATAGGAGGTATATCAGTTTTTACATAAAATCATTTGTTTAAGGATTAGGGTAAAGCGGATCTACAATATCTAAGTTATTGAGTTAGCCAATTAATTTATCTTATAATTAGGAATTACCCTATACGATCAGATGTCTAGAAAAGATGGGATTTGTAAAAATCCTGTACACCGTATTATCTTTCTAGGATTTAAATCTCGATATTTAAAATCCTTTAGTTGGAGGATTTGTTGGAATATTCAAAATTTAGAAAGTACTTAATTAGTCCATGAAGCAATTTAAGGTCAAACAGTAAGTTTAATGGTTTAGGCACAAAGCACCAGAGAGCGTTTTTCCAGTTCTGTTGTGCCAATTTGTCAAACACTCAAACTGCTTTCATTGAGTTTTTGCCTTTTGGTTGGAAGATAAGATAATACACAAATGATGTTGGTGTTGTTAGTCCGCAACTCAATTAATTATGCCTTTCTAGTTTGGTGTTTGATTGATATGGACTGTCAAAACATAACTTGTTTCTAACGCTAAAGAGTATGCAGTAAATGGATGCAAAAAGTTATTGCCGAGTGATAAAAATGGATTTGATCTTACCCTTGTTTGCATTGTATGTGGTTTCCACTGTGACTTGTGTTTCCATGTTACATTATATGTAGAATGAAATGAGAGGTGACTACAATTTATATGATGTGTATTTGGTGTAAAATAGGGGTTATTTTGTCCATTTTCTAAAATAAGCATTATACTTATGTTGCTAAGACTCAGATATGAGTGTCTAGCCTAACTGAAGTTTCAGGTGTAAAGCTGCAAACTTCCATCACTTATTCCCCTAGCTTCCCTCTCTCCATTAAACAGAAATGTATTCTTTGCACTTTGTTCAATTCATTGCAGTTTTCATGCATTGTGATTTTGATTTCTCCAAACTGCTTTATATGCTTTTGCATAATCTACTATCAATGACGCTGACTTGTTGAGTTTCTTGCAGATTGTGAACCAGATGAACACCAGAGCACTAGGTGAAAAAAGGGCTTTGGCAGCGGTTCAAACCCGGTCTAAGGCACCGGTTTGAACCGCTGCCTATGTGGGGGGTGCCAAAAGCCCTCTTGTTAGCACCGGTTCAAAACCGGTGCCATATGCTCAATTAGGCACCGGTTAACCAGTGCCTTTAACTGCTCTCCCGCCATTTTTTTTTTTGTGGTAAGCTATTTTAGGCACCGGTTGGTGCCTAACCGGTGCCTATTCAACAGATTTTTTTTTTCCATTTTTCGTGCAATAATATTCTAAAAAAAACCTGTTTCTCGCAATAATAATAACCTGTAAGTCCAGCAATTATATTAAATATAATAATTAATAATATTATTATTATAATAACTAATATTAATAATATTATTAATTATAACAATAAGATACAAAAATAATATTAAAAAAAAAGAATTCAATTATATATATATATAAATATTCCCAAACGCAATACAAAAAAAAAAAGTTGCTTACATATACAAATAATAGTAAGTAAATATATAATGAATAATAAGTTATATATTTCAAAAGTTAACATAAATAATTTACAATTACAATGTCATTTATATGTTGAAGGTGATAAAAGACGCCAACATGTCACGAACTTCATTAAGGTCCTTGATTGTCAACGGACCATCCTTTTGGACCTTGCAAAACTTGAAATACAAAAACATTATGTTAAAATTAATAAATTAGGCAAAACAACATGTATTTTATCAAATATTACCTATATGACTTCTATGTAGCCCATTTCCTACATTACTTATCAAATGAAATATTTCTTTCTCATAACATGTCAATGTTGGGTAGTTGTATGTGTGTAAGCCCTAAAATTGTATAGAAGAGCATTTTATTAAGGTTTATGATGTTTTTTACTCAAAATGGACCGAATATGGCCTATATGACTTTACTTTGCCCATTTCCTACATTTCTTATTAAATGAACTTTATTTATGTCATAACATGTCAATATTATCTAGTTATAGGTGTATAAGGAAAGAAATCACATCAAAAGAGCATATTAACACAAAATGGCCCTAATATGGCCCATATGACTTCTATTCAGCCCATTTTCTACCTTTCTTGTGAAATGGCTTTTTTTCTCATAAAATGTCATTGTTGGGTAATATTAGGTGTCTAAGGCTAGAAATCACATCAATATAGCATTTCAATAAGTTTAACAACGCATTTTACTCAACATGGCCCAAATAGGGCCTATATGACTTCTATGTAGCCCATTTCCTACATTACTTATCAAATGAACTATTTCTTTCTCATAACATGTCAATTTTGGGTAGTTGTATGTGTGTAAGCCCTAAAATTTTATAGGAGAGCATTTTATTAAGGTTTATGACGCTTTTTACACAAAATGGCCCGAATATGGTCTATATGACTTTACTTTGCCCATTTCCTACATTTCTTATTAAATGAACTTTATTTATCTCATAACATGTCAATATTATCTAGTTATAGGTGTATAAGGAAAGAAATCACATCAAAAGAGCATATTAACACAAAATGGCCCAAATATGGCCCATATGACATCTATTCAGCCCATTTTCTACCTTTCTTGTGAAATGGCTTTTTTTTTTTGTCATAACATGCCATTGTTGGATAATATTAGGTGTCTAAGGCTATAAATCACATCAATATAGCATTTCAATAAGTTTTAGGACTTACCTCATCAAGCTGTTGAGTGTCCGTATAATGAGTCACAATGTCAAGCATGAATCTCATCACATACAAAGCACAATCAAGTCCATTCTCTCGTTGTGCACACTAGCATAAGACAAACAAATCACATCAGTGAAACATGCAAAGGAAATGAGCAAATATATACTAACATAGATTTTCAAGATAATCACAATATCATGTAAATTACCAACGGTGACTTCCATGTTGGACCCTTTGGAGCACGACAATGTAGCTTCTTCATAACACTGTAGTAAAAAAAAAGTACATTCAAATTTGATTAGTCGTATGAGTACTAAATTAGTTATTATTAGCAATAATCATCACTAGGTTTGTTAGTTGAGACGAACACTACAAGAGGGGGGGGGGGTGAATTGTAGGTGAGTTCCTAGTGACTACTTTTTCAAATATAAAACAGAATAAAATAGGAACTTGCAATGCACACAGGATTTTACGAGGAAACCTTCTAGTGCCCAACAAGAAGTAAAACCTCGACCCTACCTTAGGGATTTCGAACATAAACAATTTCACTATAATAGAGCAAACACCAAGTTACAACATATTATAATCAAACCTATACTCACAAGTTCCTGAACGAACTTGCTACAGAATAGGATTCTATTCTACCCAGTCTAAGTCCCTCACTCAGACTCTCTCTCGTACTCCCTAAGCACGGATCTTCTCAACTTCTCAACAGAAGCTCTCTTTGTATGCAATGATAACAAAAACACTCTCACCCAAATAACCCAAACCAATTACAAGTAAAGACACCTAGTATATGATCGGCAAGCTATGCATGAAACCCGAAACTAATATGACAAGATGATAAGCTTGGAAAACTTACACAATTAAAGCTCTGTAAATTCTTCACGCATAAAACTCACAAAAAACCTGAACTCCTTTTTTTCTCTACTATTTATACAAGTATTACTTGTATAGCAAGTAGGATTTCTTAAAGATAAATAAGTTAAACTTAACTTATCTTTATACACAGTTTTTATGTAAATCATTTAGAAGAAAATATTTTCCGAAAAATAAGATAGAAAGATTTAGTTAAAAAGCATAATATCTTTTTAACAAACTGATTTTAAGAAATAAACATTTAAAGAAAATCTTTTTCGAATTCTATGTTTTATTTTTTTCGATTTTAATTTATTTGCCAAGCTAACTTGCCACGCTTCTAATAGACTTCATGCATATCCTACTTAACATATTTAACAATGAATCTATAAGATAAAATCTTAAATAAATCATTGCTGCTTCGCGCTCCTGTACTGGTAGGTTTACTTGGGCTCCATGCTTACTAAGTTCCTCCAAAGATCTTAGCTAGCTGTAGGGAATAATTTCAAGCCTTTAAAATTCCACTAGCTTGAACCCCACTGTGATCAGACACTAAAGTACGGTGGCGTTCAAAAGGGAAGAAGATAGAGCAAAAGAGTCGCCAACAAGTTTTTAAGGAACTTGTAAACCGTTCATAGGATGAAGGTTACACCCTTAACGATCCAAGAGATCGTCAACTCCATAAGGTCATGAACCAAATAAGGGTCCGGGGATGATGGTAAAAATCCAACCTAAAAGAGATTGAACCTGCCCTAATAATAGGCCTCTACTTTATTCTGCTCGTATTCATGTGCGCTTTCTGATTAACATACAATAAATAGGATTAACCCTAAACCTGTTTAATCTATGTTGGTTGAATTTAATGCACATATAAACTATTATTGGCGATCACTTGAATTTATAATCACAACTAACCCTAACAAGATTATTAATTATCTTATTAAGCGTGGTTGCAAATACCAATTCCCTTTAAACATGCAATAAAGGTGATCAAGCAATAAGAATATAAAATAATATACATATCAAGCAACATAATAAATAATCAACATCATTAATAACAATCAATCATAATCATAATAATCATAAACATGTTAAAGCATAGCAAGATCCTAGGCATGATACTACCAAGATTAATAACAAACCCTAGCACGTCACTAAGCAATAAAAATCAAATATTCAGCCCTAACATGATACTAACAATCATAAATATTAGGAAGAAAATAGGAAGCATCGTACTTTTAATCATACTTGATATTAAAGTTATCCTAGACATGATATTAGGAATCAAAATAACAATCTAAGCACGATATCTACATCATAATATCAATTAATCAATTAAGGCACTTACTTGGATGCCTCGTACCTCTTTCTAATAACAAAATACACACGTTAGTAACTTCAAGGAAAATAATAATCAAAACAATTAAATTAAATAATTGAAATAGAGATTTGGGACCAAACCCTCAGAAATTAAAACCTTTCACGTCTAGGGCGAAGGCAACTTCGAATATGGCTAGCTGTTTCTAGATCTTGTGAATGCGGAATTTTGTATTAAAACCAAAATTTAGAAAAGAAAGAACAAATGTTAATGAAAATTGATGAAAAGAGATGAATGAAAAGGATTATTTGACTGTAGATGAATGCTAATTGGTGAATGATGAAGATAGTTGATGAAGACTTAAGAATAAAGAGAATTGGAGAACGATAGATGTAGATGATCCCTGTAAACGGAGTTTTTGATACGATATTTATAGAGAAAATCATCCAAAAAAGATAATTTATCAAAACAGAGTCTGAAGATCGCAAAACCACCTTGGCGCCAGGACCAGTGGCTAGCGCCAGGCGCCAATGGCTGGCGTCTGGCGCCAATCCTGATTCCAGGCGCCAAGGCCTGGAGTTGGACGCCAAATTGGATTTCAACGCGTTTTCGAAAATCTGATAAATTTCCCGTACTGGAAGATAAAATAATATAATTTCAATCGAAAATGCTATTTGATCTTGATTAAAACTCTGAAGAATCCTAATTGAATTAAGAATGATAAGACCTTCTAGAATGTTCTAGAAGACTAAAACCATTCCTAATTACATTAGGAATGATAAATCATATTAGGCCCTCCCCTAGATCATTGGGCCGTACTTAAAGCTCAAACCAGGCCCAGTTTAGTAAATTGGCCATAACTTCCTCAATATTCATCGGAATTTGGCTTATAATATATCGTTGGAAAGGTCTTTGCAAGCCCCATCCAACTACACCACTATTGGACCCATATCATGGACCAACCAAACTGGATTGACTGTTTTCTTAAAATAAAGTTTTCAAAAACAGAGAGAAGAGAAAAGAATTAAAACTTTCCGCAGCACTAGACCTTTCCACACTTTCGTTTCATTCGATTATGATTCGACGTGAAAGACACTCATCACTGGGTTTGGTTTTGGGGAGACACAAATGGGTGTCTACACCAGCCATCTTCAAGTTACTGTAAAGGAACGTTCCTGTTAGGGAACTCAGTTCTTGTGAGGGAACACTTCTTCTG